GACTTCCCAAGAGGGGAAGTGACTTACCCAAGATCACACAAAGGCAGTCCAGAGTAGAGCAAGACTGGGACCCAAGTGTCTAGACATCTATCCAGTGCCCCTTTCCACCACCACTGTGCTGCTTACCCTGGTGATTTATATTTAAGCATCTCAGTGGTAACTAATTTGAATTATTTAAAATGAGAAACACGTGGTTCAAATGAGATGCTTTTATTTATTTATTTTTCTAACGAAAGCATACATTTTTTCCTATAGACAGCAAAATCTCTGGAAAGGAGTAAATAAATTCGTTGTGGTAAATTTACCAAATCCAAACTGAAAATTTACCTGTAAATGTCCCTTGAGAAAAACGCCACATTAACAGACCAAGGGAGCCCTCTACCTGTGTGTTTGTAGTATAGATTTCATTGACAAAATCCTTGACCTGGAAAGCTAAAAATAAATCGAGATCAGGTATTCTGGTCCTTTGTCCACCCTGGTTGGCTTTTAGCATTATTTTTGAGAAAAATGAACGCTGTCTGAGGATATATTTGCATGAGCAATAGGATACATGGAGGAAAATCTGCCAAAAGTTCCTTTTCTGTGAATAAAAGAGAACAATTAACAACATAAATAAAAGACCTAAATATATATACATATATTCCAGTGAGAATTACATTAAAATAATTATTTTCAAAGAACTTTATACTCCTTTGAGGATATAAAATGTTAGTAAGCATTTTTGTTCATCCAGCATGAAAGTTTCATTGTTTCTTTGTTTCAGCAAAAGATAGGGTTGGATGTAAAAATCATGCAGGATCCTGAAAACATCCGCCACAGAGCTGCTGTAAATGCGAACTATGGAATCAGTTTGCCATATATTAATCAGAGAAAAGCATGTGTAAGTAATGAGTTGTTTTAATGAGCTCTTAATTTTTTTTAAGAGTAAAAGTCATATATTAGTAGTGTGATTTCAAGTAAAGATTTTGATCCTTTTGTCCTTAGAATTTTTTGAAGATGAAATGGAGTAGCTTTCATTCTGTTTATAATTAGAAATAATTAAAACATGCAAACCTATTTTTAAAGGATCCATTTGTAGCTCATTCAAATTTCTCTGTTTTATTTGATGTTCGTAAATAATCTAGTACCATAATTTTAACAAGGATGAGATAGTTTAACAACAAAGAGGATTAATAGAGAAATTTTAAATATTTTATTTGATAGGAGCCTTACCACTAGAAAAATCAAAAGGAAACAGCATAGTATCAGCTTCAGTGGTGTATACTTACACATTACACATAATTTAATTAAATTATCCTAAATCTAAAACAAGCAGGGATTAATTCTTTAGGTCAGCAGAATGATGAGAGGGAAAATAATCAAATGGAGATTGCAATAAGGGATCTCAGAGTCTACCTATTTTGCTATTGACTTGCTGGGAAGTGTCCCAAAGCAAGAATTGGACTCTTTCTGTGTTGTGGGGTTTTCTTAGGAGAATTCAGAGTAACGCTTCATTTTAGTTGGGAAATTATTTTATTTGAGAACATTTCTAATACTGAAAACAACTCCTGAGGTGACATCTATACATTTTTAAATACATTTTAACCTTTGGCTTCTCTTAAAAGCTTTTAAATGTATAC